TACCCTACATATTTATCTGCTTAGCGATCTAGGAAATTCTTGCCCCAGTTCTAAAAATATATCGTTAATGAACTATTATGTAGTGCAGTCCTGGCTGAAGAGAGAGAAAAAAAAGATTCCACTCCTCACTGCAATGTTGACTTTACATTCTCTTTTGTACATTAGGAGTGGGTCTGACACTGGTGCCCCTTTTCAGAGCAGCCCTTCTTGCAACAGCATTGAGGACCTCATGGGAAACATTCTGTGAATGTCAGGCTCAGAGGACTGAGAGAACTGTTGAATAGTCATGCTGCCTATTGCTTTTTTTTTGAAGCCTGCAAAGCGTTAATGCTTTAATCTTGTACACAAGGCCAGCAGAGATGGAGTCTATCTGTAATGCTCTCCAAATCAGAACAGACCCAGAAGGATGAAGTTCAATCTTTAAATCCTTCTCTGCAGAGCTATTTTTAACCTTCAGTTCACAAAATGGATCCGTACGATGGCTCTAGAGCTTTCTAACAGAATCCTACCTATTACACTTGACAATGCCAGATGTTTGTCTTCAAATGCATTTAGAACTAAAGCTTTCTCGCATGATTTCCTGTGCAGTATGATAGAAATAATTTAATATGACAGAACATATCCATTCACATGGGTAGGAAAACTGATTCTACCCTTCCCAACTTTCCCCTCCCCCAAGAGAGAGAGAGAAAAATCTTCATTTGTCAAATGAAGCTAGCTGAAAGTCAAGTTATTGGTAGCGGGATTCAGACCATAACTGCAAATTAGATACAGCTATTAAACATGCAACATACCATGGCTGTACAGCAATAAAAATGCCTTAATAAATTCAATGAGCTTGCTGTGAATATTTTGCGCTTTCATTTAATCTACTGTAATTCCGGGAGTCCTGGCATTTCTGGGAAATTTTAAAATCTTATCACACAGCCTTCTTCACATGACATTTCAAGCACTCCTGACCATAGATGGTAGAAGAGGTTTCTGCGTCTTGGAGATAAGGTATTCACAAGAAACATAACCTGGCCAGAGACACTTATTTAGCATTTTTCAAAATGTCCCAGCAAACGGGTAAAAGAGAATGGAAACATTTGTTGTAATGACTGTTCTCACCGTAATTCCCAAGTCTCTCCAAAAATTCTTGAAATGTTTAGGGCCACTTGGAAGTTAGTCTGTCTATCCTGGATCTGCATTCACAGCAAATTTGTGTGTGATTTGCATTCACACACACTCCCAAATATAGGTAAATAATGAAAATGGACAGCCATTTGGATGTTCTTGATTGGAAATTGTGTTGTAAATCGCTATGATTTTTTACCTTCCATCTCCGACCAAATATCAGCTAACAATGGGTGTATGGGGAAAACACGTGTAGCATTTCCTAAATTTATCTCAAAAATAAAACTGCATTCTCATTCTCTTGGAACAACATTATGACCTTCCTTAACACTGGGTTAAAATATAAATGTTTACATATATCAGTAAATTCAGTAGAGAAACACTTTACAATATTATAACGTAACGGTAAAGCATTATAAGCCCAAATAACTCAGTTAGTTTTGCACACTTCTGAAACCCCAACAACTCTGAAATTTCTCACCCAATCTGTCTTACATTTCCCAGAAAATATCAAATTCTGGCACAAGCTGATAACTAAAACATTACAGGTACACTGCCTTCAATTTAACAAAGGTGTGGGCTTACATGAAAAAACTGAAGCTTATAAAAGAAGACTGGCTTCAGCTTTAATTATGGCTCAAACTAATGTCTTTCTATAAATTAAAATATAGCAGAGATTTAGGATTAGAACTAGGCGGCATACCGAATGAAAATAACCTCTGCTATAATTGCTACTAATAGTTTCTTCCACCAGACTCATTACACATAAAACATCACTTCTTTCTCTAATGGACTGCTAGTAGATTTAACAGCTTTGAGAGTATTTGTTCCCCTTAGCCTTTGCATGATTTCATCAACAAGCATGAAAAATCCCTAAATGATGCTTAGCTTTGTAAAAGATTTTGAAGATCACTACCACTTTGATCAAAATTTGGCCTCTTGGAAGGAGAAACTACGCCTGTGCGGTACAAATACCCGTGTCTGTAAAGCTAGCATTCTAGACTACAGTTTGTTGCCAGGAGTTTGGCCGGCTCACTGCGGTCAACAGGAACCTTTCTACTGACTTCAATGAGTTTTGTATCAGGGCCAATGAAAGTGAGAACCCCAAGTTCCTGGAAACCCTTTACGGTACTTAATTCTCTGATACTGGACTTCCCTCTCAGAGTTAACAAATGAAACCATCTGAAAACCTTGCCATGCGTTTTATGAAGTGTGATGGATATTACTGCAAAGGGCTGAAATTACTGCCAAGCTAGCAGTTCTCTTCATGATTTCGTCGTTAAACAAGTACCCTCTTTGCTAGAAAGCTGAAAGGTAGATTTTGCAAGAAAGAAGGGAAAGGAGAAGAATTGAATTAAAAGTAAAAGCCAGATCTACTCAGCTATCACTGTAACTCTTTGAAAGATTGGCTGCATGGCAGTGAAAAAATAACTGAAATCTCCATTACAAGACATTGGCTCTGTTACATTCTATTACTGGCAATTTAATCTTTTATTTGCCCAGGCAAACTTTCCAGAATTAGATGCCTGAATTCTTATACCGGCTCTTTCTGAAACGTCTACTTATTGCCATCTTAAATCACAGAAAAAATGTTTTCTTGATTTATTAAACTGCTGTGTTCTGGAAAAACAAAGCTGATCTAGCTAGGAAGAAAGGCATGACAAAATTGCTCTCCTTTTTCAGAGTAATATACATTTCTGAAACTTTAAACTGAAAATAACCAACCAAGCAACACACATCTGGTTAGAAATAATTTAAGGAAGTAGCTAATATGTTTTCTTAAGGGAATATTAGTAATGCAATATCCTTCTATGACCTAGTTTTAATTGAAAACATTGGCAGTAATAAGGTACGATGTTTCGTTTTGTTTACTTTTTGTAGGGTTATATGCTTTCTATAAAAGTCTCACTATGATTAATTACATGACCTTCAATGAATTAGAGAGCATATCCAGTTCACATAAACAAGGTCAATTATTATTTCCCTCCATTGACAATAAGATATGTATGAGGTAGGCTACTTTGATAGCTCTGCCTAAAGTCAAGGAGGATATATAGATTACTATTGTGAGTGCACCAGGAAGGAGAAACACCGCTAATTCTAGAGACAGCTGCTAGTGTCTGAAATATTACTGACCTGCATGTCATGGCTGAGACACATAAGGCCTGAACAGCCAAACGTAAAGTAGTTCAGTATTTTGGGGGCTAGCAACTCCTGTGAGTGAAATGAAAAACAGAGTAGTGGCAAGCCATGCTAAATATTCCAGAAACCAGTTCAAAGTAGTAGACACTTGCCAACTCTCACTGAACCCACGGCCCTTACTTCTGTGATTATGCTTACTTATACCAATGGGCCAAATCACATGCACAAACAAAGTGTAGGATCAGGCCCTTCTAATCTGGAACTGCATAACCTATTTCTCGTAAAGATTTAAGAAAGAGAGAGCTGTAATGAGGTCTTTTTACTGGTTATGCTTGATCACAACTATATCTGTCATATCCCCCTGTAAAACCCACTTACAATGGAAAGGAGCCCTGGCGTAAAAGGAAAAACATTATAAATTGAAATGGAAAGAGTAAGAATGCAGTCAGCTCTGCACACTGCTATCAAATACTTTCCTATTACACCAAACTGTCAAACCGCTCCACTCAGTACTTACTCCCAAATCTGGATTTTTTCATTTATGACAGTTAATTATGAACTAAGATACCAAACATACTAATGATTCTTAATGAAAAGATACAAGATACATTGTTCCATTTATAGCTTCTATACTTCAACAATACATGTTTGACAGTTGTTGCATTCGGTGATTGTAGCACTGTTAAAACTAGTGACTGACTATCTTTTCTTTCAGGAAGTTGCAAGTAATATCGATCATTTTTTATTATTAATCCATACAGGCCCGTCTTCCACCTCTGAGAAGACAGTTCATTCAAAATATAACTACTAAAAAGGCCTGAAGAAAAGACTAATTTTATATTGCTCAGGGAAATGGATAATCTTTCTGCTGGAATGTTATTTCCTTTTTCTTTTGGCCTTCACATCATGTCTAATTCTTTCCCTTCAGCCAATATAACTCTACTGACAATATTTTTTCCCAATTGATGCTGCTGAAATCAACAGAAAAATGAGCATTAATATATTTATGTTGTTAAAAGGTTGGACTACAAGAATAACCCTTCTCTGTAGACTAGAATATGAGGCAGGATGGAGGTGTGTGAGCTTAAGATGTGCTTTTTCCTTCTATAACAAGACTTTTAGCATTATAATTAGTTTTTTTCTGTGCAACTTCTCCTGTTGTGTCAGCTATTTCAGTTATGAAATAAGAGCATGGGTACATCAACAGTGAAGCCCTAACATGGGCTGATGATCAACATCTTAAATCATAAGCATAAAATGCCCTTTCAGCTCTTGATTCCAAAACAAGCTCTAAATACTATGAGTATATGAACACTTACAGCAATTTTTAATCAAGTGAGGATTTGTCCAGATTTGTTTCCTTCTGAGACGTCTTCAATAATCACGAGTTAGGTTTACTGATATATTTCTTGCCAATGGCCTTGTACAGATGTTCAGTTTCTCCTGGGAGAGTTGCTGATCTCCCAGGAGAAATCACGAGTGTACGAATATTCAGGCTTTTTCTCCCAAAGCAAAAACAGGCCAGTCCAGGAGAAAAATAACCTGGCAAATAACCAGGGTTAAAATCACTCCCAGGAGAGTTTCTCCTAGGAAAGTGAATGTCTGTACATGCTGAATGTTTCATGTACAACTGCTGAAACATTCTGCCCTAAATTGCCAAGTGAAAGGTGAAACTGAGAAACAGTGCAAGAGAGGAAAAAATTATAGAATATATATACATATATACACATACACACACTCACAGTCTACTTCTAGAATGGCACGGACAGATTTAGCAAGGTCTTTCGCTTCAGCTCCAAGGGCTGCTGTGACAGTACGTCCATTCTTCCCCAGTCGTGCAAGTAGTGTCTTAGCTGACAATGTGGCTCTTCTATCACTGAAAGGAAATAATTGTTTATTTGGCAGATTGCAAGGAGAAATATTCCTTTTAATAAAAAACTACATATTTCTTGATTGGTTTAAATCTCACTTCAGGAAAAAAAAGGATTACATTACCAAATTCCGGAGACTTCCTCAAAGATTATTTTGACTTAGTAATAAAAAGAGTTTTTGGGGCAGTTCAATTAAAACAAAAATTATGCATTTCTGAGACTGGATCCCAGAAACTCAGCTGGTGTGAATCAACACAGCTCTTACACACTCCGTGAAACAACCCAGCTGGAACCAGAATCTGGCCTGAAGTCATCTTGTGGTTATTTATATTGGAGTAACATTGAGGAGACCCAGTCATGGACCAGAGCTCCACTGTGTTAATGCGGTAGACACCCCCCCCCCCCCCCCCCCCGAAGATGGCCTTTTCATGTGTAGGAAAGCTTTATTGTTGTTTTATGATGATGATTATTATTATTATAGGTATCGCCAATGTATAAAATATTTTCTAGATATGTATTCAGTCAAAAAGAACGGGTATAGTCAGGGCAACACCAGAATCTAGAAGACCCACCTTCCATCTTTCACTCTGTCTGAGACTTACTGTGAGACATAGGGAAGTTACTTCTGCTCAGACCCTGTTAAAGTGGCTATGAAAAGCTGATGAATTCCCTGAATACTCTCAGGCATTCTGATAGCACCAGTCATTCATCATTCTGATAGCCCAAGTCATGCATGGAGATCCAACAGAGATAATAGCCATACCTCCAGCCCAGATATATAAAATTATGTTTCCCATAAATACACACTCAAGGGGCTAGTAGAAGGGGAGAAGAGTAGGGGAAGGGAAGACTATGTTAAAAATACAACTTAAGGTGCAAACTGGTGATGAAAGGGATTCTGGATGCAACACAAATCAATCCAGCACTTCCTATAGCAAGTGAGAATTTTGACATTTGCAATATAAATCACAAGTCCACATAAAAGGGTCCAAAGGCTCCAATCTTGACTTTTAAAAACTGCAGTTGCTCCCTATGAAGTTAATAGGGTTACTTTAATGAAAATGGTGTCATTATAATAAGGATTAAAATTAGGTTTTTTTATGAATTGACACCACCTACTTTGAGAAGTTGTGGAGTAGTGTATAAATAAAAAATGATGATAACAAAAGTTCAATTTGTATTATCATGCTAGTCACGCATAAAGAAAAAAAATGTAGTGAAAAATAGCTGGACTCCTGAAACTCAAATGTACATGTGGTTCACTAAATTTCACTGTAGCCCAGGACATCTATTGAACTGCTTATATTAATGACCCTGTTATTTGCAAAAAACTGCAAACCTACCAAAAAAGAGGCAAATTAGTTTTATTTTGCTGTTCTTCAATTTAAACAGATGTTTTGACTTCTCAAAGATTTTTAAGCATCTTGACTACAACTCAAAATGGATGGTCTGTAGAGCTGCGTAAAGCTTCGGTCCCGGATTTGATTCAGCGGAGATTCGGCCCAATTTGGTGGCCAAGTCTCTGAATCTGAATTGAATCAGAGGACCCTTTAATCTCTCTGAATCGAATTGGAACCCTCTGAGTTGATTCGGAGAGATTCGGAAAGATTTGGCAATTCGGATATAGACACAGCTTTAAATGTTTTTTCTACATAGCTCTAAGTACCAGCGCAGCTCGTGAATGCTGTGATGCTGGGGTGCATGGAGTGTCTCACGAAGCATGGGGGGCACCCAGGGTCCTCCTGCGGCCAATCGCTGAGCTGGGGGGGGGTGCGGGGGGGGCACCCTGTATGCTCGATGGCAGACCCAGAAGTGGACTGGAAGTACTTCTGGTCCACTTCCAGGTTCACTGCTGAGCATGTGGAGGGTCCCCCTGTGCTCCTGTGGGACACTCCATCTGCCCCAGCATCGCAGCATTCACGACCCATGCTAGTACCTCGAGGTGCGTAGAAAAAACTTTTAAAGCTGTGTCTATGTCCGAATCAGCATCGAACCTTCAGATTCAGCCGAATTGAATAGGGCCCACTTTGCACACCCCAATGGTCTGGATCCTGAATCCATTAAGAACTTTCTTAAGTACTTTCCTTTATGGGTATTGTCTGCTGCCACTGAAATTCTATTTTATCTATCATATTTACTCAAATACAAAATGAGGCCCCCTCTCTCCCCTGAAATGGCATGGGGAAAAATGCCCCTCATCTGATAATGGCATACAAGGAAGTCTCACTACATACATTGTCTATCATTAAAGTGCTGTGAAAAGCAGCATGTGCTCAGCAATGGAAACCAACTATGAAGCTGATTAAATGCAGCCAATACTGAGTATGACTATAAAACACATGTCCCACATTGGGCAAATGTGCTGATGGGAACCAACCACAAGGATAGGTTAGTGCAATCCATCTGAAGAAGACATATGCTAGTGCCCATTAAGTGCAAATCCCCTCATTGCTGACTCTTTTTCAAAGCATAGTGAAGCACAATGTTGAAGTATACAGTTCACTGGAATCTCTCTGTCACACCCACTCTTAGGCTTCCACATATGAATAGTGTGGCCCTGCTCACTATAAAGTGAAGACAGACCAAGTTGCCCTGCACATACATTTTTGGAGAATCCCAGGACTTGTGACAAGAACGCCTGGTTTCAGTCATGAGTGGACTAATTATCACATGGATCCTTTGTGGGGGGCATCTGAAGTATACACACACATACTGAACAGTGCTGAGCTGTGGGGTCACCATGGAGGGCAGGGCCACATTAAATGTATGCTCCACGCTGAGAAAGGAGGTGACAGAGAGATTCTGGGTGAACTGTATGCAATAGCGTGGTTCACCATAGCTTGCAATGCTGTTGACTCAGGTGAAGCCCAGCCCAGTGATATAAGTAGGTGCCACAGTGCTTTTCAAAAGTGTGTTTATGAAACATCTCTGCTAAAACTTGCAGCAGTTTCAAAAAAAGGTAACATGCATCAGAACACTGGAACGGGTTACCCAGAGAGGTCATGGGATCTCCATCCTTGGAGGTTTTTAAGACCTGGGTAGACAAAGATTTGGCTGGAGTGATCTAGCTGGGGACGGTCCGTTTTGAGCAAGGAGGTGGACTAGATGACCTCCTGAGGTCCCTCCCAACCCTAATTTTTCTATGATTCTATGAATTTTGGATGAACTAAATCTATGTACTATATGTAAATTGCTACAGGCATGTTTAATTTCAAGATTACTGTTTTCAAATTTGCTCCTCACTTCCACATGCTCAGGGAGAGCAGGGTCTGACAGTAAGGGGAGGGGCAAGGTGGTGGCAGGGGAAAAAGTTTTCAGGAAGCAGAGAGCAAAGGGCTACCTGATCTCCCAGATTTATTTTCCCTGCTGTAGCTGTGGGAGGGGGATAAATTCAAGGCAAACGTCCAATAATTAGATTCTATACCTGGAAAATTGTAAGAAATTAAAAAATTTTCCATATACAGAAACTAATTATTGGGGTGTTGTCTTATAATTAGGGTCGTCTTCAAGTAAATACAGTAGACACTACCACTTTGTTTACATTACACTGCTATTCTTTTCGTGGGAGTACCTCTGTAATGCACAACAGTTAAAAAAAATTATATGAATAGGCAACCTGACCCTACTTCCACTGGAATCAATGGGAAGCGTGCTGTTGGCTTCAATGGGAAAAGGAGAAAATTCAGAAGGGAACTGAACTGAGAAGGAACACCCAATTTTCTCCTGTAGTATTTGCTTGCACATGGCTTGAAGCGAATCCCCTTTCTGGCAGATTGAGGTAGGTGATTTCTCCCTACTCTTTTTGGGAGTGGGATCTTGTGGCAAGGGCAGCTTGGTTCGGGGCCAGGGCAGAACCATGATCTGCAGCCTGCACGCTCTGGGCAGGGGCGTGCAGGCAGTGGATCGTGGCTCTGCCTTGGCTCAGGACTATGTTGTCAGTGATGTAAGGAGCTGGGGAAGAGCTGTGATCTGCAGTTTGCACACTCCGGACAGGGGCACGCCAGCAGCGGATCATGGCTCTGCCATGGCCCTGGACCAAGCTGCCCCTGCCACAAGAACCCAGCAGCTCCAAAGCAGCCCCATGCCCTGCCCTGACGTGTGTCCTGCCAGCTCAGCTGGGGCAAGTCTCCATGGCAACCCCAGCCTTGCAGCTGTAGCTGGGGTTTGCATGGAGACTGGCTCCAGGCATTCAAGCAGGGGTTGGTGGGAAATGGAGTCTGGCTGCCAGCCGGATCTGCCATTTTGCCCACCCCTGGCTTAAGATGGGTTTCTGGGCCTTCTAATTCTGCCACAAAGGTTGTCATATTGTATCATATCAACACAAGTACTTTAGATGCTCTTACCTTAAAGCTGACAAAGAGGAGTTTTCTGACAGGGCTTCGTGTACAATCTGTTGGCAAGTGTTAAGGAAATGCATAGTTAATATTTCAGAAGTTCAATGTACCCGCCTGCATTGCTTTGTTGTCTACTTACAGATTTTCCCTCCCTCCTTCCATGAGCTTTGTGCTTATACCCCTTAATGCTTTATCCATAGAGAATGATCAGAGGTAACACTTTGCTCCTGTCACGGGACAGGTAAACAAAAACTGGCATATAAAATGCATATAATGATGTCTCCCTGCACATACATGGCACACGTTTTCCTACTTTAAACCTTTCTGTTATGCAAAGCAAATATATTAATGGGCCATAACTTCAGTGACTATAACCTGTTCAAGCAGCACAGAGAAAAACTGGCTAGTAAAATAGTACTAAATAAGGTAAACTGCATTAAACATATACAAAGCTACCATTTTGGCTTCCAATATATTTTCAAAATAACCTCTACTTAACGATTTATAGCTTTCCTTTAATTTCCAAACATGAATTTAGTTAACATTTTGAGAGCAGCAACTTGAACTCTAAAGGTTTGTTTCTTTTCATTTTGAATTTTTTTTCCCAAGGGAATTTTTTATAGTCATGGATATGACCTTATGAAACATTTTGGTTCCATTAACACCTTTTTTTGATGAAAAGCTATTTTAACAAAAATTCTCATTCAATCTACTTGCAACGCACACAGCAACAAACAGGATTCACAAACTGCTACATCAAATTCTGCTGTCACATCCTATTCCAGCAGGTTGCTTAAAATTGTGAAACTGTTTCTTTAAGGCAAAATGAATATCATTATACTCTATATATCATGGTCATACACCAGATGTATTATCTTGTATATTTCCTATATAAAAACGTTGTTGAAGAAATTGGAAGTGGAAAAATTACCTCTGTGAACTGCAGCAGTTTTTCAGTGGCCACTTCAAAGGCTTTCCTAGATGATTCTGATTTCCGTAGTTGGCAGTCTAGCACTGTGATTCTCTTTTTTAAATCATGTGCACTTTCCTGGCAAAGGAATTCAGTCAGTATCATTGGATTAATTCTAAGACTTTATCAATTTCTCTTATTTGTCATTTTTCTACTTTCTCATACGACAGGTGACAGGGGTAGGGAGGGCAAATCTAACGTTTTTAGGGTAAAAACCCCCACAAATTATTGTTTGATTAAAAAAGGACTACGAAGAACTAAAAATAGCCTCTAAAATAATACTATTCTTTGAAAATAAACTCTGTTCAAAGCCATTTTAGTAAGCCTGTAGATGTTGAATGGTTTCCCCCGACCCTGCTGTTTTCCCATCTCTAGGGCTGTGTTCTGCTTTCCTTCAAGTCCAGTGAAACTATCTCTTTTTCCCACATGGCTTTCTAGCTTTAGAGCTGACAGTGAACCCACTGAACAGAATAGTTCTGATTCAGCTATTTATTAGAGAGGGATTTGGGAATCAGATCTCCCACAGTGATCAAGGTGCTGCTGTGAGACACTGCTGAGAGTCACCACTCCTCTCTACATTTTGCTTTTTTTTCCCAGAAAGAGATACAATGAAGAGCTGGATCTCCTAGTAGTCCCCTAGACCACGTCCAGATGAGCGTGGATGTTTGGTTTCCTGGGGATAACTAGCAGCGGCACACCTTGAGTCATGCACCCTCTGGCATGCAGCAGGATACCCTGAGTGGGGTAGGGGAGGCTGGGACCAGCAACGGGATCTCCCTGGGTCAAACCCAAAAGGTAGCAGCGTGGGAAGTGCCTGAATGTGCAGTGTGTGGTACAACAGACAGGTCTGCAATGCCACATACCACACAGCAGTGCTCATCTGGACATGGCCCTAGAGTGCCGATTCAAACATGATGGATCAAGAAAATCAACTCGTCATTCAAACGCTTATGGCTAAATACTCAGTTAATGACAAAAAAAGGAAGAAGAATGCACCATATACTGCATTCAGTATTTTGACAAATGTAGACTTATAACATACAGGAGAAAAAAAGAGAGTATTTTGAAAAAAAGCACAGCTTAGTTACATGAGAACTGGATGCTGCCCTTTTATTTTTGCTAAGTGGGGACTGGTCCATTTATTCTGCGCATCTATAAAGCATGAATGATAAAAGTGTGCATTAACAAAGTTCTGTTGTATTAACCTATGTACTCTGAGACAGAAAGCTGTGGCATGCTTTGAACAAGGTTAAACAACTGAGATTTTACTATATGCATGTGTATAATCCACTGATCAGTGTTTCTTACGCGCTGTGCCTGATCTGTAGAGGATGTTAGTAACTCTCCATGACACACGTGGTGCTGCAGAATGTTATGGAGAAGTTCCTCTTTGGAAAAGGAACATTTCTGGGGCAGATTTACCATTTTGGTGGTGTTACAAATAGCATGAACATATTCATGCCCACTCTTCAAAGTGGTCAAAGTGCTACAAATGTAATGTGTTTCCATATCCTAAGTCTGTTACAACCTTAGCTATAAAACCTGACTCAAGCCCTCAAGATGTAGACACTCTTGCTTTCAACTCCACGAGTCCTTGTTTCAATTCCTGTGTGATAGGATGAAGGATGATCTTGGGCACGTTCCTATGTTTGAGCTGTACACTGATCAGAAAATTTGAACCAAACTATGTCCTAGCAGAAAGGGCAGAAAATGTTTTTGCTTGAAAAAACAAACACAGTTTACGCTAGGTGAGTGTCTCCAAAACCCTACAGTCTGAATCAATCTTAGTGGAAGGCTTATAACTTCTACAAAGCACCTTTTTAGTATTAAATATATTGTCATTGGAAGCACACAAATACACATTTATAATAGTTTTGTTTGGCAGGATCCCCAGCATCCTGAACTTCAGAGTCTGCTTGATTAGACAGCCTCTGTATGGCATTGTATATCTCACTGTTCAGTATTGAAAAAGGAGCTCCTAAGCCTACTTTGGATTTTATTAAATGCAGCCAATTGCAGTTGTTTTACTAAGTACAGTTGTCTCTTTTTAGCTTTAAGATGTTATCTAACGGCAAAGTGGAGCAAAGCTCTTCTTAAAGCCCTGTACCGAAAGAACAAGAAAAGAACAAGGTGAACTGATCAATACCTCTTACGTAAAACTACTGGCTGCATATGTTAAATAAAAAGAGTTCAAAGCTTCCGACTTACAGGGCCTGATGCTCTACTGCCTTGCTCCTTGTATCGTTGCTTACATCAAAGGCAAGCATTTTACACCAACTTTGTACTGCTACTGGGGCTTATCCCGAACCTACTGGAGTGTTAACATTGAAAAGGATGAATGGAAAGCCAGGCCCCAAGTCATATTTCATAAGGGCTCAAGACCAGATTTCTGAATGCTCACCTCAGAAATTGTCAAAAACGTTTAATAGCCAACATGAACCAACCACAATTGGCATTTTTGAAAATCAGGGCACTTATATCAGCACTAATATGGGAGCTGATTTCTTGAAAATATGGCCCTAAGTGGCTACACAAAAGGCATGGAAGGCAGTGGAGTATCAGTTTTCTGAAATTTATAGCTCCAGTACCACCATTTTATTTTTCAATACTGAACTCATTTTCAAGACCATAAGAAAGCAGGGCTGGAAGGGACTTCCTAAAGTAATCCAGCCTCCTGTTAAAGGCAGGAGCACCCCAGACTAGAGTATGCAAGTCAGCTGTCTGTCTAACCTGCTTTTAAAAATTCCCAGTGATGGAGAATCCACAACCTCTCTAGCTGGCCTGTTCCAGTGCTTGAATACCCTCATAAAATCGGGAAGTTCCCTCTAATCTCCATCTAACCTATCATCACCCTTCAGGTCTTTGAAGGCTGTTGTCAGACCCCCACTTAGTCTTCTTTTCACCTGACTAAATGACCCCAATTTTTTCAGCCATTCAGTAGAATTCATATTTCCTGGCCTCTTCTAATTCTTGTTACTTTCTGCTGGACTCTTTCCAAACTGTCTATATCTTTTTGAAGTTTGGGACTCAAAACTGAACACAATACTCTAGGTGAGGCCTCACCAGTGCTGAACAGAGGGAAAGAATCACTTCTCTTGCAAGTAACCTTCTTGTTAATACAACCTAGTATACTGTTGGCCTTTTTTGGCAACAAGAGCATACTGTTGGTTCATACTAAGATTATAGTCTACTGTAATCCCGCAGGTCCTTCTCTGCAGTACTGCAGCCTAGCTAATCAGATGAGAAGGGTGAACTTTC